CGAGTGTGAGCAAACATCGGCAATGAATCTGAATTCAGAGCTTATGTGGCCAATAATTGAATTTATGCACACGCATAACACTAATCCAGCTGTGGAGTGCTGAGCATTTGGGTCCAATGATTAATCATAGGATTTGCAAAAGCCCTTTCTCTGACAGGGCAATGGAGGTCTTTGTAGAGCAGATATGGAGAGGTGGGATCAGCTATTTGGGGATGGAGGGCAGATCCCCACAGCTGTAGCGCAGCATAGAGCTTAAAGGAGATTGACAGTGGAATGATTGGGTTTCTGAAGTAAAGAATACTTGGTGGCAGGTCACAAAAAAGTTACACAACTTAAAAGAAATCAAGCACTGACTTTGGCCATATAAAAGGCATACTTAACATATCTGGCAATTCTTTTAATCTCTTCGAAATGCAGTGGATTTCTGTACATGCAGAACTAACATAGACCCTTGAGCATCATAAGTCATCATCTGCACTTCATGTAGGCATCAGTAAAGTAATATACAGGGTGGATTGGATTATGAGTCCACTGAGTGCCAGTTTCATCTATTACATTTTCTAACATAAGAGTAACAGTTTCGAATTATCCACTTTCAGCCTTGCTTCCCAAAAATGAGAGCATCACAATGAGGGAGTTTAAAAAGAAACTAAACTACTTTCAAAAGCAGGAGTCAATTGTAGACTTGTTCTGAGAACCAGCAGAAACCAGTCCACCAGTATAGTTGGAAACCATTATTCTTTAAGTTAATAGAAAATATCAAAATGAGGTAATGCAAGAACTAACATCTAACAAGATTTTTGTACTATGAGCAAAATAACCTATTAAAGAAAAGAAACCGTTCAAGGTTTCTGATAATTCTGATAATATTATTTTGGTAAATCAAACAACAGGACCGAGAAGGTATAATTCTGACGTTAGCACATTGCACTTGTAAGAATATTAGTATTAGAAAGAAACAAGAGCATGAGATTGACTATTTGAGGAGCTTGGTTCAGCTCAACTGTTTTCTCATCCCTAAATAATGTAGTGTGCTTTACCTTTGCTATTTGGGTAATGAAAGCAGGGAACCTTTTGACAGATTGTGGCATAGTCCTTCTGGATTACGTTTGAGCAAAGGCCAATTTTAACAAAATATTTGAACAAAGTGCTGATGGTGAATTTATTCAGCAGACAATGAGCCAGCGATAGTTTTTGAATGATGCAGAGCTGCACCAGTGTGATAATCAGCAGCAGAACTTTATATTATTAATGAGATGTGGTTTATCCAAATTAGTACTTAATTAAATATCACAGGCCAATACATAACTGCTGAGATAAGTAGCTCACTGGACTAAATCTGAATGAATGGAATATGCACTGGGCCAGATTAACTTTATTTGAATAATTTGCAGTTATGATAACACGCTAAAGTTAAGCCAAAAAGCAATTTTATTTTAACAATATTGTAAGTAATCAGGGAGATGCAGATTGTATTAAAAACACAGTTCTGTTAATGTATTGCTGATAAAGCTGATTAAAAAGCTTCATTTTCCACAAGATAACATTGAGTCTCTTCCAGACCCATTGTTAGTGCTGATGTTCTGAGCCAAATAGTTTATGACCTAGCTTGGCTTTAAGGGCAGACTTGAGTGTTCCTTTCCCCACATGCGGTATCCTGCAGCTAACTAATTTCTTCAGTTAGTACAGATTTATCTCCAAGGAATATATCCCTTTGAAGCAGCGGTGAAAATTTTAATAGTACAATATACTTTTTGTTGGCTTGTCGCTCCTTATCTTTTAATTTTCACTGTTATCTTGTTTATTAATTTAACAGCAATATTACATAGACTTATTTTTAAGAGAAATTAATAGAAAATCTCTATAGATGAATGATAGCAGATGAATACTGTTTGTATGTTAGTTAATCTATTTATTTATTAGGTTGCCAATTTCATTTACTATTGGGAACTTTCCTAGACTATCCTTTTTTTATATAGTACCCTATGTTCTACTTTTAGTCAGATGGGATTTCACTCCATTAATCACTAGATTCTTGTAAATTTTAAGAATAAATAGGCATACACTTATTCCGTTCTGTTAAATACAGCACTATCAGCAGCATTGACTCAAAGCCTAAGCACTAGTCAATCTTCATGTCCTCTCAAATTACCAACCCTTCCTTTCAGAGCGATTGGTGAGTTTTATCTGAATTAAAATTATCTTGAAAGATGTTTGTTGCATGATAACGTCCCAGCTTTCATACAAAAAAGACTCAAATATTCCTTGCTGTGAAAGATTAAGCTGGAAAGGCAAAGTCACCTACAATATTCTCATCTGATTTATGTGCTTAAAACATAGGTCTCAGCACTTCCAGTTTTCTTTTGCTATTTACGTGTACAAGATAATAGGCTATAAGGTAACACTGTCTTTGTAGAAACTTAGTTTCCAAAAATAGATGCTATGTTGTACTTGATCACTTAACATCACCTAAATGTGCAGTAATGTTTCTCTGGACTCAGATAACTGAATTCAAAGTCACAATAACATCCTGGTCTTAGTTTTGCTGACAGGGAGTAATATTATTCTCTGAACTGGTTTAGAGAATTTGCAGCAAAGTTCAACATGATGGGTGAAGGCTGAATGCTTAATAGGTGTGGATGCAGATTTGAATACATACAATTCAGTATTTAAATTGCTATGGCTTCTCCCTAAATTGGTTATTCATGAACTGGTGACTTTTTTGAAGGTCAACAGGTTGAGCTCCAAGCAAATCCCATGTCATGTTTCCCAAAGAGCATGTATATTATTCAATGGAATGAGATTCCAATTTTTAGAGACAGCTTTCCTCTAGCCTGGGGTTCGATGTTCTGCTATTGCAAGGCACTCCACTTAGCAGTGTGACCTGACAGAACTCACTGCAATCATGGCTGGGAGTTTGAAGTATCAAGTAACTAAGTTCTATGGAATGATAGTAAAGCATGAAGCAAAGCCACCGTATGGAAGAGGAAATGGGTGACTAAAATGTCCACTGTGGAGGTTACTGGGATAAAGTGGATTATAAATAGAATTAACTGGTGAGGTTTTAAGTTTGCAATATAATTTTTTTCAAAAGAATGCTTAGTAGCCAAAATATAGAACACAATTACTGATGAAAGAAAATTTATTTTCAGAAGGGACATTTTCCCTTATAAAATGTAACTGACATTTATATAATAAAATAAAGTGCACTACATTTACATAATAATGAAATATGTGTCTGGATATATGACAACGCAGCAGACACAGCATTAGCAGAATGATTATTTTTCATGTAATTAATCCTAATGCAGTTTAATGCAAGATGTGACCGCAAAGTTTCAGTAACTGCTGACAGATGCAACCTGCCTTGTTTATGCATCACATAAATGCCAATCTCCTGACATACTGACTGATTTAACTTGCTTTTGAGTCAATACATCTTTATTCAGAAACAAGAACCCGAATGATCGCTGATATAGGTTTTCTTGCATAGGAAAAAAAAATGTTTGGTCAGGCATGGACTCCAAACTGCAGTGCAGCAGAAAGTTCCTCTTCTGGGAATATCTAAAACCCAAACAATGGATCTGCCCTATTTTCACGGGATACACAATACAGTAAAACTTGCATAAGACTTATCTTTATAAAATCGTATAATTGCCCAAGTTGTACATTCACCCGAGCCCCATTCTGTTTCCCATCAAAACCACTTAATTTCTTGCACTACTTATATTAATCACCTAACTCGTAACGCTACTCTACTACCCTCCATTACTCCCACACTTACTGGCTGCATTTAATCGTGGGAAATGACATACTAACCCATCAACATATGTGCACTTACCGGCTGCAATGACAAAGTACCACATGCGCACTTATCCGCTACATTGATTTACGCAAGCGCAATCGTGATTATTGATTAAATCGGATTTTATACAACTTGTACAGTTTGCCTGCAACTTGGACTTCACGTAAGTCATATTAAATGTTTTGATCCCAACCGATATGACTTATGTGATATTTACTTCCCAGGAAATGTTGAATTGACACACCCAAACGATTCTCAGATTTTTTCCTAATGAATTTATGAACATGATTTTTTTCCTACTTTATATGTGAATGTTCCACCGTACATGTCAATCAAAGTGCTGATACTATGTCATTGTCTTTAAACATCCTAGATATTTACTACTTTGCACGACATATGCAAACTATAATGTTTTTGGCTTTTGAATGAAATTACAGGGTAACCAAAAATTTGTGATACCATTATAATGTCTAATAAGTCTTCAAGAAATGATGATGTTTTTTAGACAATAGGATAGTTATCATGACTTTTTGGCCACCCTGTATAAGTGAGTTATTGATCGGGAGTCTATCAAATCATGGTTCTAGGTCATGTGTAGTCTGTATAAGACCACATGCAATTACAAAACACAAAGCAAACATACAGCATATGATTTCATAAATGGTATAACGATATCACAATACAGGGCAACTCTATTATAACATGTTTATCTTGGTCCACAATCTCAGATGTTGTTTGTTATAATGAAGTCCATAAAAATTGCCAACTTCTAGGTCACTGCGGATGTCATATTCTATATGTGCTGATGTCATATTCTTTGCAAAGTCACATCTGTTCATTTCTTCCACGTAGTGCACATGCAGGAAATGAGATCAGCAGGACGTGGAAATTGAACATTATTTTATTCATGGTGAAATGCAGAGGCATTTAGTTGAATGTCACTGAATTTTATTATTATAGGGTATATGAATTGAAATTCCAGTCGCTATTATGCATAGCACCGTCGACAATGCACAGTTATCATGGGGAAATCCCCTTAGAGGACAACTCCAACAAAGGCATAACACCATCAATAATTTTAGCCCATTGTTTAATGTTTGGTTGGGATATCTGTGCTCTGAAAGTTTCACAAGGTGGTGTACTTACGTCATGGTCTGAGAATAAATGTATAAATGAATGATTTTTACACCCTTACCATTTTCCATATGCTCTGCTTCACCAACACTGCCATCAGGGGTGGTCCTCTCATAGTTGTCTTCTGGAAGTGGGAGTGAGCCTAATCTTGGTCCCGATGAGCTCTTGCTGCTGGGTGTTTCCGATTCTTCCAAACCGCTGTCATAACAGCTCTGCAGGGAGCCCTGGTGTGGATCCTGAGGCTGACTCACCACAGAGAAAGTCACTCGACGGAAAGGCTAGAAAAAACAATTATGTGTGTCACTGCTATATTTAAAACATAAAATCCTCATTGCTGTGTGTAAAAAAAAGTGGGCTGCTGAAACATTGAAAGGATGTACTCTATTCTCCTAATTTAACAGCAAATGTCACTACTCGTAACAATTACGCACATTGAAAGTCATTAGAACTGTTGTTGCTCTTTTCCTTTGCATCATATCTTTGTACAGTGATTAATCAGGATTACTCCTCTTTCATTCTTCTTTATCTACGTTTATTGTATTCCTGTAATCTCCTTTCAATTTTTATTTTATGTGTTCTGGACAGCATCAATATTATGAACCTTAACTCTCGTGGATACCTCAGCTCATTTTTCGATGTATTGTCAGTCGTTTCCACAACTTATAAGATCAGCCATTATCTTATAGAATGGTGGAATAGGCTCAAGGAGATGAATGACCTACTCCTGTTTCTATGTTTTCATTAACTTAACAAACTTCCTGAATTTAAATTACAAAGTAACATATTGATAAGTGGCAGCATCTATTACAGGGAGTATGAAGCCACTAATTTAATACAGCTTATGTATGCCCTTGAATGCTCAGCAGATGTCAGTTATATCTGACAAATTTACATAACGTATGGATGTTTCTGCTCCAAATATCATGTGGCAGGTTATGTATTGTTATGTTATCTTACAAGTTTAAATTATCCAAATCAGAGCATTGGCTACAAATCTACTGGGAGTAGGCTGAGTTAGCATCATTTCACAAGCTTGACCTTAACATGACCAAAAACACATCTCTGCTGTGCAGTTTCTTATTGCTTTCGGTGAACATGCAGCATCCAAGTACACTGATAACATTATCATTATACAATAGGATGGGTGATGGCTTCCATTCTAAATCAGTCAAACTGAGCAGATTCATTTATGTTTGGATTTCTAACCATATTTAGTAACTAAAGCATAGCCTCTCGTCTGCATAGAAATGATGGAGTGCAAAATGAGATTTAAGATGGGATAATTATCACCAATAATAAATATGATTCGCAAGTCAAATTTCTCCAACTCCCGTCCCAGTGTGTAAAAGTAAAGATTTGAATTCATAGTCTAGGTGACATTCCAGAGCAGTATTGGGTGAGTGCTGCATTGTTGGAGGTATCATCTTTCTGATGAATTGTTAAATTCTGTTTACCTGTTTGCAGATGAATATTAATGATCTTTGATATCATTTGAAAAGAGAAGCAAGTTTATACTGCTGTTCTGGCTAACAATTCTCTAAATGAGTTAATCATTCACCACATGGCTCTTTGTTGAATCTTGCTGTGCGCAAAATGGCTGCAGTGCTGACCACGTGCTAGTATTTAATGTAAAGTACATTGAAACATTTCTAAATACAAAGCACTGTAATAATGCAAGTCCTTTCTTTGCAATGCACAACACTGTTTTCATTTCACGTATGCTGAAAAGATGGCAACAGTGTATTTTTGTGATTATCTACTGAAGCAGGTTAGAGCAACTTTCCATTAAAACCAAAAAGACAGCAAGCTACAATTAATCAAGCAGTGTTTTATAGGAGACTGCATACTTTTGTAGGTCCACGATGTCACATTTAACCAAGTGATTCTCCCAGTGCCAATTATACCATCTGTGGAAATTTTCCCAGCCAGACCTGCTTTGTCAACCATGCCAAATTTCCCATCTGTTATAAAGTTCTCAGTTGTGCCATCTGTGCCAATTTTGCCAACAGTGTCATCTGTGTCACCTATGCCTGCTTTACAATTGTACCAACAGTGCCACCTGTGTTGCAAATGCCTGCTGTAGAGTTTTGTTCAATACAGTGAACTAGCTATGTAAGTTGTGCTGTCTCTCTGACTGTGGCAACTATATGAGTTCTATTCATTGCACCATCTAATTTGTTAAGTGTGCTAAAAGCGCATATAAACAAGCAGGAAGAATGGTTTCCTTTTACCTCCTATCTAAACAATCAAGTCACTAGTGCACTGAACAAAATGTTTTTCAATGCCTGCTATTTCTGTCAGTGCCATCATGCTCAATCGTGTTAATCAAATGTGTGTTTCACGCTAATAAATGACCCATCTGAGGCTAACTCATGAAATTGCAATTTTCCCCTTCCTAAGTAACTGAATGATCATAGAATACTTTAAATTAACATCTTCATAGATTGCTGCCAAGCACAGGGTTGCTAATGAATGCTAATCTCATTGTTAAATCAAAACAAATTTTGTGTGGATGTTTTGGAATCGTAACATTTATTTTGACTGAGAGAAAACAAGAACCTCGCTTTGTAATACAGTAAACTATATGTCTCACAAATTCTTTGAGACACCCTCCCAGCGTGAAAGGCGCTATGTAAATGTGAATTATATTGTAACTGACTTCAGTCTTTTGTCCATTATAGAACAAAAAGCCGCAAAACATTTCAAAAGTGACATTTTTATTATTTTGTATGACCAAAATTAGCATGAAGTAATCTTTTGTAACATTGTATGGGTGGAAACAGAAGAACGAAGGCAGGGTGAAACGTTAGGCAAGTTTCCTTTCTCCACATGCCTCTATTTACCGTTACCTCTGTTTAGTCGATTGGCGGATCACTTTCTGGGGATAAAAATCCCTTTTTTAAAAAAATGTTGTCACTCACTCCACGACTGTTTGTGGGACACCGCTGAGCGCAATTAGCTGCCAAGTTTTACCCACAAAATATACAGTCACTACACTTTGCAGAATATCCTGTGAAGCGCTTTGAGACGTCTCAAAGATGTGATAAGGCGTTATATCAAATACAAGGAATATTGCATTTATTAAGACAATTATTAAGATAAGTAATAGTTCCTGCCTGAAACTACATTTTTCAATTTAAATTATCCAATCTACAAAGGCATCCTGTTTATTTCAGCACTGTGAACTTCGGGAGCAGAGCCATGGCTCTCTACATGTTTCCACTGACTATGAGCAGAAAGTGGTACTATTACACACTGGTATTATAAAGCTTTATGTGAACTGTAAGTCAAGGTTATGAGTATTTCAGCACTGATCTTTAGGTATTCTTATGTCTGAGCAAAATTATTCAAAAACATCGTACTAAAAATAGTTAAAGGAACATCAAGCTCATCTCTTTGCTGCAAATCTTCAGGTCATGTGCTGCATTTCAATAAGTGATTCACTTTGCAAACGCTTAGAATACTTCAGTTTGTACAGCAACAGAATTCTAATGAACTTTTTCTTTACCTCCTTATGACCACGTGGAAGCTGCAAGCCAAAGGCAACAAAAGGACTCATTTAAGTTATTTCTGTGATGCTTCTATGAATTGAGCTATACTATTGCCAGATTTTCAGCAAATTCAGTCGGTTACCAGAATTCGCTTTCTGTTTGCTTATGTGCAGTATTCCTTAACAACATTTTTTGATTTCTAACTTAAAGAATTAGCGAATTGATTACAATTTGATCTATTTTCAGGGTTCCTTAAAATTAATAGAATATTTGTTATTATGTCTAGTTACTGGAAGGAATCCCCACTCAGATCACTTAAGAAATACTGCAAAATGTATCTGAATGTGTTTGCCCATACATATGTAGAAATGTATGATAGCACAGGCACATTTTAAAATATCCTCTATATCGCATCTTTACACACCTATTCTGTTGCCAACCACTAATTTGTTAATGCAACATTTTCAATCAGGATACTCAGAACCACTGTATTTAATTTAATTCCTTGCTTACGGTATATTGTGTTCACCAGCACAAATTATTTTACTGTTTATTTGTTTTGTAGTGGCTTTGGCTATGCTTTGGAGGATGGACAAGGATAATTTTGAAGAGCACAATGTTGTTTCTCCATGCAACTCGTCCAAGTCTTGAATGTTAAGAATTGCAAGAGAGTATATGATGTTTCTTCTCTTTCCCTGAGGAAAGCATCAGCTCCATAAAACCTCAAAGATAAATAACATTCACCGACGAAATAGTATATGTGCATGAACTCCAGATCACATGTGGTTCCCTTATCTATGGCAAACACAATCTCATACGGTTACACAATCATTGTACGAAGTTTGTTCCTTTCTATCCCAACGGTGTGCACACATCTCTTGCACTTTCCACTGGAACTTAGGATACACATTTGAAGGGTTAATTCATACCAAGCACCACTTCAAACTATAATAACCTTGGTAATGTGTCAGAATAATTTATTCAAAAGGCTCAACATACCTTCTGTTTATGAAGATAATGTTCTAATACACAGCAAAAAAATGTGATCATATTTTATTTTTAGCATCACATCCCTCAATGTCATCAGTAGAATAGCATTAATGGATTTGGCCTCATGCCATTGATTATCCTGTTACTGATACATCGTGACAGGGAATCAGAACCGTTAACCCTTCATCAGCAAGTACTCAGTGTTCCTTTAATTAAAAAGAGCTTTGCCGAAGTCAGTGGAAAAAAGTTTTAGTATTACAGAAGAAATCCTTCTGGGATTGTATATACATCAGAAAGGTTGATACCTGTTTGCAGTAAGTGACAATAAATAAGTAAACTATTGTATTTTGCATCAATCTAAAGTCTGAGCAACTGCAATGTTTACTGCTATTAAATGGTGAAGTTACGAATCTCACCTATGCTTATCATACGATTTCCTAATTACAAGGACACAGAGACCTGTATAAGGTCGGTAAATTTATTAAACTGGTAAGAATGTGGAACTCATTGCCAGAAGCTGTGATTGAAACAAAAAGCATCAACATATTTAAGAGGAAACCAGATATATTCATCAGGAGAATGAATAGAGATATATAGGAGAGGAGAGTACGAAGGGTGGAGACTTGTGTGGAGTATTAATACTGGCACAAATTGATTGAATAGCCTGTTTCTGTTCTGTATCATTTTATGCAATTCTTTGAAATTAAGTTAGCAGAATTGCGTATTACAGAATAGCTATATTAAACACATTTATTTCCATACAGACATGTATATATGTATTTATTTTGGGTTATTTT